TTTTTTATCTGGAAGTTTGCACCTCTTAATTCTCTTCACCTATTTCACCCATCTCCCTACCCTCTCCTCTGGCAACAAACCACCAGATTGTTCTCTGTATCTGTCAGTCTGTTTCTGGTTTTTTGTCTCCATTTCATTTCACCTTTGCATCATATGTCATTACAGTTTACAAGATGCTTTCAGATAAATTGTCAGTAGCTAGAATCATGGGACCTACAAAAATATGATTTAAGAGACACTGCGTTGGGGGCACCTGGGTGGCTCAGTGGGTTAAAGCCTCTGCCTTTGGCTCAGGTCATGATCCCAGGGTCCTGGGATCGAGCCCCACATCGGGCTCTCTGCTCAGCAGGGAGCCTGCTTTCTCTCTCTCTGCCTGCCTCTCTGCCTACTTGTGATCTCTGTCTGTCAAATAAACAAATAAAATCTTTAAAAAAAAAAAAAAGGGAGAGAGAGACACTGCGTTGGGGCAAATAATACTTCCAATAAAACTTGGAAATGCCCTCTGAGTGTAGAAATGTACCAGTCATCATGATGACAATGACCCTGGGTCTGCAGAGGAGTGACAAACCTTGGATTCAGCAGGCTGATTGTTTTTTTCACTCTGTCTACCGAGTTGGACTACATTATGAATTGTAGAGAAGGAAATGAATGGAGGTAAGAACTGCAAAATCTCAGACTAGCTGACTGCACAGCAAAGGGACTCGTTAGATGTCCGGTCCATGCGGTCTGCGGACTCACTCTGCGCAAGAGACCTGCTAATGAAATGTCTTAGCTCCACAAAGGCTTCTAATGAGAGCTTCATGGGACTGTTGCCTATGTCATACGCCATGAGTTTGAGGCTTGGAATCTCTCATTTGAACTTTTTTACGCCATCCCGGTATATGAAGGAAAAAAAAAAAAGCAGCTGCCAAAAAGCAAACATTTTCCTGTCTCTAAAAATAAAATGCTGGCAACACTTCAGGCCTCTGTGCCAAGACCTGGCCCTTCCCAGGATAAACAATAGGTGGCCAAGCTGATCACAGGCAAGCACTGAGCCCGGGAGTGGGCCGGGGGCCAGCCTGGAATGCCTAGGTTGAGCCATGTGCGGCTGTAAAGCGAGAAGCCAAAGGTGGCCCTCCCACCACTCCCTCCTCCCCAGCTGAGGAAGGACAGCTGCCACCCCCCAGCCAGGGGCCAGGTGTGGCTGAATGGGGACAGCCTCGGATTACACCAGAAACCTTGACCCAGCAGAGGTCACAGAGCTCCCACTGTCCCCTGGCCCCAGAGCCCCAGGGTGCACAGTGACAGATTTGAGGGCTATGAGAGCCTGTCCAGGGAATGCTCCCTGGGAAGGAAAGTTTCCTAAGGTTCCATCTGCATCCGTCACTCAGGCTTGGGCCCATCACCTGTCAAACGCTCCTCGCCCAGCTGAGAGCCCTCACCTGCTGCAGGGAGGCCCCGCAGAAGCACCTTAGCATAAGAATGCTGTAGTTATGGCGGTCAGTCCCGTTCTAACTGCCTCCCAGCTTCCACCGCATTTGTTCAAGTCCTGTGCCTTCTCATTAGGGTTCAAATCTTCCCTGGACGACAAGCTTGGCCTTTGGCTGGGTTGGGGAGTTGAAAGGGCTAAGAGGGGGTGAGGGGAGGAGAGAGACTAAATATAGCAAATATTTGTGCGCATAATCACTCCATAAACATGCTTCAGTGGAATAGAGCGGAGGACCGACCCAGATGACGGATGTCACTCACCCGAGTGTCACATCATAAATAAAACTGAATGAGCCCATTCTCCTACAGAACCAGAGTGACGCCTGTCCACACTATAAATATTTATGAAGTCATGGCCCTTAAAAGACTTACTTTTTCCAGGTAAGTAGACTTTACAAAAAAGCGGAGCCCGAGCTTTTCCTAACAATTATGGAATGGTCACTGTAGCTTTTCAATGGGCATCCCATGGAAAGGGAAAAGAAAAAGAAGAAAGAAGAAAAGGGAAAATAAGGCCCCGATCCAAGAGGCTGCTGCACGGAGATCTCATTTATGCCAGTCAAAACTCATTCTCATTCCAAAAGTGACAGCCTTCTCTGAGGTGGCGGAAACCAGAAGAAGCATTATTGGTCCTCGTTGCACCCAGGCCTGTGTAATGAAGGAAGCACAAACACATCCCTGTCATCCAAGTTCAGACCCCTCCCACCACCTCTGCTGGGAGAGACATTCTCCTTAGAGCTCTTAGCCTGTCTCTTAGTAACCAAAAAAATGTACACCTCACCCCATTACTGTGCTTGTGTGCAAAGAATTCCCGGAATGTGCCAATGTGTGCCTGGGTGTCTCTCAGGTGTTTATGTAGAGCACCCCCCCAATCCTGCTCTTACTCCTGATTGCATTAGTGATAGCACCCACAAACGCCGCTGGAATCCTACCAGCTTTTCCTGCGTGCTCACTCTTCGACACACATTACTGCAAAGAGAGCAAACACCCTTTGGGCTCTCAGCAGCTGGGCCACATCCCCACTCCCCTAAGTCACCTGGAGCTCCCAAGCCATTGTTTCCAGGACAATACAAGCTAATTTTCATGTCGCTTTGCAGCACACACACTACCCATCACTTCAATGCACCAAAACCCTTGCCCAAGTCCAGCAAGCCTGTTTCTTTCCCAGGGAGGGCCTTCTGTCCAGGCTCCCTTCCTGCAAACCTCAAGGTGGCCCCTGCTATGTCAGGCTGAATGGGCCACACAGGGAAAAGGTAAAGAACCTTCTGCTCTAGCCTCCAGGAAGTCCTGTCCCACAAGGAACAGGAACCTCTGGTTTTATGAAAATGAGTCACAGGCTGCCTTGACCGTGCCTATCTGGGAGGCTAGGGCTGCCATGTATGGTCCGAGCTCTGTGCCACCCACCTCTCCATGTAAGTCGGAGTTCTTTGCCAGGACAGCCTGAGTCATAAAACTCAGCACATTCCTTAAGCGTTGGATAGTCTTTCCTTGTTATTACTTTGCTTTTGTTCTAGGCAGCACCTGGTTTCATTTTAAAAACCCAAATAAAATCTCATGGTCAGGGCTTGGGTGGGGTGGGGAGATAGAAAGGGAAGAAAAAGAGCAAGAAGGGAGTGAAGCCTAGGTTAGGGGAATCAAGAAAGGGCTGCAAACCACCACCCGACCACCCCACAGGCGAGACCCAGAGCAGAACAGAGAGGGAAAACTGCAGAGGCGAGAGCAGGAGAAAGAGGATGGACTACAACTAAAGTGAGTTTGATCAAAGTCCTTGCAGTATGTGACACGGCACTTGATGTCTTGGTCTCCTCCCCAAATTAGGTAACAGTACTAAAAGCCCAGTGACCTCCTCTGAGCCCCGACTCTTTCTGAGTCTTCTCAATAAACCAGTAGGCATATTTTTGATGAATTCTAAGGAACTTTGCAATTTTAACACTATCATTTTTATGAACCTGTTTCCTTTTCTCTTGGACCACAACCCCCAAATTATGTGTAAGGGAATATTTTCCCACAAGCTAATATTTGTGGGGTTTTTTTTGTTTGTTTGTTTGTTTGTTTGTTTGTTTTTTGTCTGTGGCAGGTAGTGGAATGGGAGACAACAAAGGATAAGGTGTAGACCCAACCATACAAATGTTGCTGGTTGAACTCAATTTCTGTGGCCAGGTTATTTTGTAAACTCATCTGTAAAGCTGTTAACACAGAGTTTTAGAATTAAAACAGAATTCTAATAATTGGTGTTTCGCATATAGCAAATACTGAATGAATGAATGAATGAATGATACACGTTAACATGGAGAATTGTATTTCCTTGGAGTAGTAAAGCCTATTAACTGTAGCGTAAGACCGGGACCATAGGGTACTGGACTCACAACTCGAGCAGAGGCTTTTACCTCTCCCTGCCTGAGATTCTCTAAATGAGGCTGGCAAAGGCAAAAATCCTGGAGGTTCCTGAGTGGCTCCAAGGCTGCATTTTCAATGCACGGTTTGGCGAGCTTAATGGAAACCATACGAAGGGATCCCGGGAACCAGACCAGATGGCTTCCCGGGGCATGTATTTAGCTTAACCTGGACTAAAGAACAAAAATAACCACTAGGAGTTCGGGGGTGGGGGTGGGGGGGTGATAGCGATGGTGGTGCGACTTTTAATGAATTACCTCTTCTATTCAGCAGGAATCAGCAGAACACGGTCTGGGTAAATGGAAATAAATGGAGCAGGGGCCAGAGGGCGGGGCGCGACGTGGGGAGGAAGGGGTAGGAGGCTGCTACTTTCGTAACCACACAGTTCCTCCTGCCCTCAAAGGACACCAGCCCTTGCGGCCCTTCGCTGCCCGGGACCGCCGCGGGTTCGTTCCCGCGCGCCGCTGGCTCTCCGCGCCGCCGCGTCAGGCAGCCGCTCCCCGGCTCCGCCTCCGGCGCGCCCGGCACGGGAGGGCGGTCCGCGGACAGGACGTGGGAGGGAGCGGGGGGCGGAGCGCGGAGGGAGGCGGGGGCAGAGGGCTGGGGAGAGGGAGCCCGCGGGGGAAGAGGGGCGGGCCGTGGGCGGAGCCTCGGGGCCGCGGGGCCCCTCCGGGGAGAGCCGGGGCGTGAAAGGCCGCGATCTCCCCGCCCCCAGCGCCCGGCCCGCCGCACCTCGCGTCGCCCCCGCCACCCTCGACGGCGCGGGCGCGTCTCCTCCCCAGCGACGCCCCGGGCGGGGGGAAGGCAGTCGGTGGAAGGCTGCGGCTCTGCGGGGCGAGTGCTCTGAATACAAAAAAGCCTTTTTCACGCCCCTGCGCCCCTCCGCCCCTCCGCTCCCGGGTCTCCCAGATGGAAGGGACAGGCTCCTCCACGCGGGAGCCCACAGCTCGCGGGGTCGCAGCACTATTTCTGCGGCTCTTGCGGAGAAGTGTGACTCCCAGGTATTCCCCTTTGAAAAAATCAGTAATGACTATAACGATAACTTTTGTTCCCGCTTCCAAGGTCTGGGGGTGTTTGGAGCCCGGTAAGGTGTCCCAGAAAGCCAGCCTGTGAAGTCTAGATGTTAGCGGGCCCGCTCCTACCTCAGAGTCCTTAAGCAAACCGCAGGCCTCCGCCTTTGGGACTCGGTTTTGCGACTCAGCTAAGTGACGGTAACGGTCGTCCCAGACCACAAGCGGAGCGCTGGTCACCTTCTGAGTCTTCCGACGAGCCAGCCAGGCTTGCGGAGTCACCCCGTGCGTGCAGCTGGAGGAGAACGGCCCGCTCGTTAGCGCTCGACCCCCGCAGAGGTCACTCTGTGCGCGGGACTGGCTGGGAATGACGTGGCCGAGCCCTCATTCTTAGGCAGGAGCTGGGACTGTCCTGCGTTTTCCTCCGTCTCTGTTAACCTTCCTATCACAGACATCGTGTCTCTGTCAGGAAGGCCAGTCAGTAAGCAGGAGAGAGGGAAAACATTTGGGAACTCTGGAATCCCAAAGGAACTACCACTGCTTCTCCACTGGCCTTGCCTAGCCCTCCCTTCGTGTGGTTAAGATTCTTTCCCCGGTCTTCCCTGCTGTTCGGTTAGGCTGGAATTCCCGGGTGCGAATTTCTCTGCTTTCCAGGTTGGCAACGTGCGTTTCTTGAAGATAAGACCCGGAAATACCGATATTAAGAAGATGGTTACCAAGGCATTAGACACCAGGCGAATACCTTAAACAGTGAGAATAATCCTTACCGGTTGCTGAACATTTCATTCAATCCCTGCCTGTTGCTGATGGGGGGAGTTTGTGCATTTCACATCTCAATGCCTGTTCTCCTCCCCCGAGATAGAGCACCTCTGAAAATAATTAAGAGTTTGCCTCGTCTAATAAATTAAAGGTCATGATTTATTTTGTGGTTAGAACTTCAGGCCCAAGGTTTCCCAAACAAGTGCCCCATATTCATTGTGTGGACAGAGTGGGGGGATATGGAGGTGGGGAGAGGGCGACAGGGGCTGGGGGGAGTACTCTCTGCCTGTGGTACCCTAAAAACAAGAGTGGGATGTAATGCCACTAATTTGTCAGGAATCGTTGACTGAAAAGGCTACTGTGAGGTTAGGAAAATCACTTTAGGGGAGGGGGGTGGGTGAAGTACCTCAAAGAGAAAGGCAACTGTTCCCCACAACAGCTGCAGCCACTGGCAAAGGAATTGCTTGGCGCCGGTACAGCTCCACGCAGCAAGAGGGATTTATTTATCTAGCAATAGTTAATGATTCTCCCAAGTAACTCCCAGGAGGCCCAGCTAGCGGTAAATATACTTTCAGGAAATCATCTACCCTTCCTAGAAGGATGCAGCAACCCTACAGTGAAGGGAGGTCTTTGCACCCCCCTCCCCAGCCACGCACAATGTATCTTTCAGTAGACTTGCCCCGCTCCAACCCCCACCCCCAAAGAACTCCCTCCACAGCCTGCCACAGCCCTGCCTTCTCATGCTTGCCATGCTCTGTGAGAAACTTATCAACTCCTATAGCAGAAAAGTTAAGAAAAGTGCACAATTTCTGGAAGGCCATCATTCAATGGACTAATTACCTGGGAACCCAGGTGGGTTGTCCAACCCTGCCCCATTAGCTGACTTTGTCAGATTAGCTAGTTGGTGCCCATAGACGAGCATTTTCCAAAGTGATATGTTTATACAACCAGGGGTTCTTGTGAAAATGTTAGGTGGTACTTGAGTAACACTTCTTATTTTAATGGTCAGGTTTTTGTTTTGTTTTGTTTTTCTAATACACATAACTAGAGTACCAAATCCATGGTGTCACAAATATAATTACCTAGGGTGAGGCTGGGATTTTTTTCAAGTCAATTTAAAGGTAAATCTTAAAAAAAAAAAAAAAAAAAGGAAGAAGATAGCAAGAATAATTGTAACTTTTATATTAAATGAGGTGAAGTTAGTGGAGTGCTTGCAGAAAACTAGTTTTTATTCCTTTCTTTCAACTCATTCTTTAGGAATCTCTGCCAGAACTCTTAAGACATAAAAAGAATTCCATTTTAGCATTCTGTTAAAAAAAAAAAATTACTGGATCTTGAGAAAGTCTGATCAGGCGAGACAAAGCCCCTGCTCTGGAGGGCCATGTGAAGGGGAGCAGAGATGTAGACATTGGATATGGAAGAACAGGCATCTGAGGAGAGTGAGCCCAGGACAGTGGGCACCCAGGGTGGGTCCCAGAAAGGAAGGACAATCTGAGAACTCATTGCCTTCTTTTGCAAGAGGCAGAATCCATCAAATCACTGATAACGCTGATAAAAATTTGGGCAGTAGGAGAGAAATTTCCAATTACGTTAAGCCTCTTTGGGGCTTGTTTCCACAACAAATGGAGAAATCGATACAAGAATGTTCATGATGCTTTGAGAAAGAATGCTCATCAGAACAGTCTACTTTTCTGTTAATCACATGATTATAAGTTTGGGATCACCTTCCGACCAATTCTGGACGTACACACACCACCGTCCTTGCTTCCACACCATGCACACTTACTGACACCATCCCAGGAATCCACTGTTGGGTGACAAGCAAAAACACTCTTACATGCTTCAGAAAGTCTTTCCTTAGTTGATTGTAGTTGATCAGGTTCTTAGATACTGGCTTTTTAATTCTCATACCTAGTAGAAAGAGACAGGCAATGTATAAGTGCTTGTGATAGTCTACCGTGAGATGAATAAATGAAATTTACTAATATTCCTAAATCACTTTTTTTTATTGTGCTATGTTAGTCACCATACAGTCCATCATTAGTTTTTGATGTAGTGTTCCAAGATTCATTGTTTACGTATAACACCCAGTGTTCCATGCAATCCGTGCCCTCCTTAATACCCAGCACCAGGCTCACCCGTTCCCCCACCTCCCTCCACTCTGAAACCCTCAGTTTGTTTCTCAGAGTCCACAGTCTCTCATGGTTTGTCTCCCTCTCCAATCCACCCCCCTTCACTTTTCCTTTCCTTCTCCTAATGTTCTCCATGTTGTTCCTTATGTTCCACAAGTAAGTGAAACCATATGGTAATTAACTTTCTCTGCTTGACTTATTTCACTCAGCATAATCTCCTCCAGTCCCATCCATGTTGATGCAAAAGTTGGGTATTCAATCTTTCTAATGGCTGAGTAATATTCTATTGTACTATATGGACCATATCTTCTTTATCCATTCATCTATTGAAGGGCATCTTGGCTTTTTCCACAGTTTGGTGATTGTGGCCATTGCTGCTATGAACACTAGGGTACATATGGCTGCCCTTTTCACTACATCTGTATCTTTGGGATAAATACCCAGTAGTGCAATTGCTGGGTCATGGGTAGCTTCTAAGTCACTTTTAATCAATAGTTCCAAACACTCACATCCATACTAACCTCCAGCCCCGCCAACTTTTCCTACCACCACACCCTTCTCACATATATGCTCTTTTTCAAAGCTGTTGCTGGCAAATGTCTGTCTGGGATTTCTCCCTCCTCTTATTTCTGCATCCTGCCATCCATACTGTTAGGAGAGGTACAACAAAGTAACACGGTGCATGACAGCAGGAAAGAAGCAGAAATGCAGAAGGCCTTAAATGGTCTCAGACTCTGGAAGGGAGGAAATTATCAGATGAAGACCATAATTAAAATGAAGGCAGAACACGATATAAAGTGATAGTTTGGGACAGGACTTACATGATCTTTCATAATTTGGAGGTGCTGTAGAAAAATCACCAAACAGAATTTGGTGTACCTATGAAAAAGAGATAAAAATAAATACCAACCACCTTTACAACAATAGAAATTTAATAAAACTGCTTTTCCAGTGTTGTGGTTCCTCATTCAAAAGGCAGTTTTTGATACTGCTGTCAAAAGCCATTGTAATAACAGACACTAACAGTAGAATACAAAGACAAAATGTGGAAAATATTGATAAAATAGGATAGGCAAAAGAGTACTATCCTAATATAGAAGCAGCACATACAAATCAATGTAGTAAAGCAAGACACCCTAATAGAAATGTGGGCAAAGAAAATGAATATAATCAATCTTCATTATTCATGGATTCCAGGTTTTCCAGTTTTCTTACTCTATAAAATTTATTTGTAACACCAAAGTCATTATATGCAGCATTTTTGAGGCATTCAAGGACATTCAGAGAGCACAAAACAATTCGAATCACCTGACATGCATTTTCTCAGTCTTATTTCAGCTCTCATCTTTAAACAAATGTCCTTTGGGGGGGCCTATATAGTGCCACATTTTCTGCATTTTTATGTGTTTTGTTGGTGATTTCACTGTTTAAAATGGCCCCCAGTGTAGTGCTGACATGCTGTGTCATGTTCCTAAGTGGAAGAAGACTTTGATGTGCTTTATGAAGAAAACACATTTGTTAGATCAACTTCATTTAGGCATGAGTTAGAGTGCTGCTGGCTGTAAGTGCAACGTTCATGAATCAACCAAACTTATGAAATAAGGTATCTTTAAATAGAGACACACATAAACACAAATTTACAGTTGATGAAAATGTTGTGACCAGGGGCTCACAGGAGCCTGGCCCTACATTTCTCCTAGGAGCAATGGTCCAGTAATTCAGTGTTAGTAAGGACTTTAGAAAACATCACTATCTCAAATTATGAGAATTGACTATAATCACAAAAGAACTATCAGTAACTAATAGAAGATGCTCAAACTCACTAATAAAGAAATTAAAGTTAAAAGGAAATTAAAATATCTTTATCCAAGTAGAAAATATTAAAATTATTTTTAAAACCACTGTTAGAGAAAATATAGGAAAACAGCCACTGTTGAGTACTGCTGGTGCACGAGGCCAGTTTTCTAGAAGGCAATTTGGCCATATATCAAAGTTTAAAATAAGCTTAACTCCTGATCCGATAAGTCTACTTATGAGAGAGTACCCTGAGGAGATAATTGTACAATTGCAAAAATTTATATTTAAATTTATTCATCACTGCATTGTTGATAATAGTTGCCAGTTTGAAAAACCTAAATGCCTGGCAATATGAGGTATTTTTAAATTGTGATATATCCAGTCCATGAAATCTTACATATCCATAAAATTGGTAAATGTTATTGCTAACACTGAAAGAATATGTCCATGAAAATATTCAGTGGTTAAAGCAGGTCAGAGGACAGTAAATCCCATCAGTGTTTCCTGTGTGTGTGTGTGTGTGTGTGTGTGTGTGCACATGGATGTGTGTGTGCATCTCGGTCTATGCGTTAGCATAGGGAGACATTTCTAAGGAACTTCACTAAAATGTTCATGGTGATTATCCCTGAGGGTAGGGAAAGGGTTTCAGCTACTTTTTACTTTGTCTCTATTCCTCTGTATTATTTGAAAGTTTAAAATCTGACAAAAGGTGTTTTTGTAACATTTTTTATTATTTTATTTTATTTTATTTTATTTTATTTTTTCACTTAACAGTTTATAACCTTGGTTGTTTATTTTTTTTATCCCCATCACCTAAAAGAAAGTTACACACACAATAAATAAGCACTCACAAACAAGTGTTTGATGAATAAATAATTCTAAACAACTCCAACTTTGTTGTTTTATAAAATATGCAAGGTACAATGATTTAAGCTCTCTCCATTTAAATGATGGCTGAGAAATTTTGGACTTACCACACTGTGTTTGACATCAGGTGCATTTTTAAAAGAACTGGTTATTTGAGGAAATAGTCCTGCATACATATAAAGAGGGAAAATGAGGATTAAACCCAGTGTTAGGATAAAATCTCTTATACTCCTGATCGTACCATACAAACAAATTGTACACACGTGCCTTATTTCCCTTTAGAATTTGACCAACAGAAAAGTAAGAGGTAAAACAAAACTGTGACGAGAAGTTAATGCATAGTAAATACTTTGGAGCTTTTGTGGGTACAGGTAATTTTTTTTTTCTTATGGTACACATTTCAACTTTATTTTAAAAAGAAAACCATACTGGTAACAGCTAGGAGACATTGAAATTATATAAGTCTATAATTTAAAAATATTATTAAAATAACTCAGTTTTACATGTCCTTTGGCTTTCTCAATGAGATTTTTCTGAAGACTCAAGTAGCAGATGTGTTTCAGTCTTTGTTCATTTTCTTGAGTTTTAATTCAGCTAAAGATAATTAGCTATGTCCCCTTTCTCAATCTAAAAATAGTTAACCTTTCAAATGCTGCTCTTTTTATTTTTAAAGATTTTAGTTTTTTAGAGCAGTTTTAGGTTCACAGCAACACTGAGAAAAAGATACATAGAGTTTCTAAATACTCCTGCCCCCACACAGGCATAGCCTCCCATCATCAACATTCCCCCACCCCAGTGGGACATTTGTTAAAATGCTGGACCCTACACTGACACATCACAATCACCTTCCCCATTACAGTTTACTTGTGGTGTTATACAATCTATACGTCTGGACAAATGTATAATGACATTTGTCCATCATTAGAGTTTTCTACAGAATATTTTCACTGCCCTAAAAATCCTTTGTGCTCTGCCTTTTCATCCCTCTTCCTTCCCAGCCCCGGGCAACCTCTGATCTTTTTACTGTACCCATGCTTTTGCCTTTTCCAGAATGTCAGGTAGTTGGAATCATATAGTATGTAGCCTTTCAGATTGGCTTTTTTCACTTAGTAATATGCACATCAGATTCCTCCATGTCTTCCACAGCTTGATAGCTCTTTCTTTTTAGTGCTGAATAAATCTTGCATTGTCTGGATGTACCACAGTTCATTTATCTATTCACCTATTAAAGAAGGTCTCTCTCTTTCTCTCCCCACCCCCGTGTGTGTGTGTGTGTGTGTGTGTGTGTGTGTGTATTTTTTAATTAAAAAAAAATTTTTTTTTAAGGAAGCTCCATGCCCAGTGCAAAGCCCAGTGCGGGGCTTGAACTCATGACCCTGAGATCAAGACTTCAGCTGATTTCATGATTGGATGTTTAATCAACTGAGCCACCCGGGTGCCCAGTTATTAGCCGTATTTATATCTTTCTTGGTGAGGTGGTTGGTAAAGTCTTTGGCTCATTTTTTAGTCAGTTTTTTGTTTCTTTTTTTTTTGAGTTTTAAGACTTCTCTGTATATTTAGAATAACGGTTCCTTCCAAAAGTGTCTTTTGCAAATATTTTCTCCCTATCTGTACCTTCTCATTCTCTTGACATTGTCTTGTGCAGAGCAGAAGTTTTTAATTTTAATCAAGTCCAGCCTATCTATTATTTCTTTCATGGATCATGCCTTTGGTGTTGTATCTAAAAAGTCATTACCATAGCCAAGGTCATCTAGGTTTTTCCTATATTATATTCTAGAGTTTTATACTTTTGCATTTACATTTAGGTCCGTGATCCATTTTGAGTTAATTTTTGTGAAGGTGTAAGGAACATGTCTAGATTTTTTTTTTTCCTTTTGGCATGAAGTGTGTTTGTTTTTTTTTTTTTTTTTTTTCCATTTGGCAGTTGTTCCAACAAAATTTTTTGAAAAAGCCCTTTTCTTTATTGCACTGCCTTTGTTCCTCTGTCAAAGATACATTGCCTATATTTATGTGGGTCTATTTCTGGGCCCTCTATTCTGTTCCATTAATCTGTATGTCTATTCTTTTGCCAATACCACATTGTCTTAATTACTGTAGCTTTATTGTAAGTATTGAAGTTCGGTAATGTCAGTCCTCCAACATTGTTCTTGTTCTCCAGTATTGTGTTGGCCATTCTGTCTCTGCCTTCCCACACAAATTTTAGAATCACTTTGTTGATATCCACAAAATAACTTTGTGGGGATTAAGTGATTGCACTGAATTTAATTTTAAATTTCACTTGTCCATTGCTGTTATATAGGAAAGCAATCAACTTTTGTTTTTTTAAAGATTTTATTTATTTATTTATTTATTTGTCAGAAAGAGAGGGAGAGAAAGCACACAAGCAAGCAGAGAGGCAGGCAGAGGCAGAGAGAGAGGCAGGCTTCCTGTCGAGCAAGGAGCCCGATGCGGGACTCGATCCCAGGACGCCGGGATCATGACCTGAGCTGAAGGCAACGGCTTAACCCATTGAGCCACCCAGGCCTCCCAGCAATCAACTTTTGTATATTAACCTTGTATCTTGCAACCTTACTATAATCATTTATTATTTCCAAGAGAGGGTTTTTTTAAAATCGTTTAAAAAAATTTTCTTTATAGACAATATGTCATATGTGAACAAAGACAGTTTTATTTCTTCCTTTCCAATCTCTATAATTTTCATTTTCTTTTCTTGTCTTACTGCATTAGCTAGTACTTTCAGTATGATGTTGAAAGAAGTGGTGAGAGGAGAACACTATCTGATCTCAGTGGGAAAGCTTTATGTTTCTATTAACTATGATGTTACCTATAGTTTTTTTTTGTAGATTTTCTTCATAAGTTGAAGAAGTTCTCTATTCTTGTTCACTGAGACTTTTTTTGTTTTAATCATGAATGGGTGTTGGATTTTGTCAAATGCTTTTTCTGCATCTATTGATATGATCATGTGATTTTTCTTTTTTAGTCTCTTGATATGATGGATTACATCAATTGACTTCTAAATGTTGAACCAACCTTGCATGCCTGGGATAATCCCACTTGGTCATGGTATAGAATTCTTTGTATACATTGTTGGATTTATTTGATAATATTTTGTTGAAGAGTTTTGCATCTATATTCATGAGATATTTGTCTGTAGTTTTCTTTTTTTGCAGTCTTTGCCTTGCTTTGGCATTACAGTAATCCTGGCTTCACTATATTAGTTAAGAATTATTTCCTCACCTTCAGTCCTCTGAAAGAGATTGTGAAGAATTGGTATAATTTCTCCCCTAAATGTTTGGTAAAATTCACCAGTGAACCCATCTAGGCCTAGTGCCATCTGCTTGGAAAGGTTGTTAATTACTGATTTAATTTCTTTAATAGATATAAGCCTATTCAGACTATTATTTCTTGTGTGAGTTTTGGCAGCTTGTGTCTTCAAGGAAGACATCATTTTGTTTATCAAATTTGGGGGATAAAGTTTTATATAATATTTCTTTATTGTTCTTTTAATGTCCATGGGGTCTGTAGCAATGTTTTATCTTTCACTTCTGATATTAGTAATTAATGTATTTTTCCCCCTTAGTTAGAAATTCTTCATCTTTTCAAATAATCAGCTTCTGGTTTCCTTAATTTTCTCTGTTGACTTCCTGTTTTCAAGTGTATTGATTTCTGCTCTAATTCTTATGATTTCTTCTCCTTATTTTTGATTTAATTTGCTCTTCTTATTTGAGTTTTCTAACATAGAAATTAGGTTGATTTTAGATTTTTCTTCTTTGCTAATATATGCAATCAATGCTATAAATTTCCCTCTAACCACTGCTTTTATTACATTACACAAATTGGTAAGTTGTGTTTTCATTTTCACTTAGTTCAAAATATTTCTTTAGCTTTTCCAGATTTCTTCTTTGACTCATGTTACTTAGAAATCTGTTGTTTACTTATTTGGGGATTTTCCACTTATCCTTCTGTTATTGATTTCTAATTTAATTCCTCTGTGATCTGAGAGCAAATATTATATGATTGCTGTTCTCTTAAATTTTAAGGTGTGTTTTATTTCCCAGAATGTAGTCTAACTTGGTCCATATTCCATGTGACCTTTAAAAGAATGTGTGTTCTGCTGTTGTTGAAGTCATCTAAGAGATGGTGATTATATCTAATTGATTGAAATGTTGTTGAGTTCAACTACGTCCTTACTACTGGATCTGTCCATTTCTGATAGAGATGTGCTGACGTTTTCAACCATGACAGTGGATTCATCTGTTTCTCCTTACAATTCCATGCTTTTGCCTCACACAGTTGGACACTGTGTTGTTAAGCACATGCACATTAAATATGATTTTATCTTCTTGGAGGATTGATACCTTTATAATTATTATTATTTAGTACCCTTTTTTATTCCTGGTAAGTTCCCTCTTTTGAAGTCTGAAATTAATATCTCTATTATATAATATATATTATAAACTATCATATATATATATATATCTAAATTAATATATCTATTCTTGCCTCATTTTTCTTAGTATTAACATAGCATATTTTTCTCCACTCATTTATTTTAATCTATATGTGCCTTTATATTTAAAGTTGGTTTCTTGTAAACAACATATAATTGGGCCTTATTTTTTGATCCACTGACAATCTCTGTCTACTGATTAGTGTGAATTGATGTTCACAGTGATTTTGATATAACAGAATTAGCATCTGCATATTTGTTACTGTTTTCTATTTGTTGCCCTTCTTCCTTTTTCCTATTTTTGTCTTTCACTCTTTTTTAGGCTTTTGTGGTTTTAACTGAGCATTTTATATGATTCCTTTTTCTCTCCTTTCTTAACATTTTAATTACACTTCTTTTTTTTTTACTTTTTTAATGGTTGCCCTTGAGTTTGCATATACATTTACAGCTAATCCAAATGCACTTTCAAATAACATTACACCACTTCATGACTGGTACAAGTAGCTTATAATAATAAAATATTCCTATTTCCCCTCTTCCATCTCTTGTAGCATTGCTGTCATTCATTTCTCCTATATTTAAGCATAAATAAGTACATATACAGTTGACCCTTTAACAGCTTGGTTTTGGATTTCAAAGGCCCACTTATACATGAATTTTTTATAGTACAGTATTATAAGTGTATTTTCTCTTCTTTATGATTTTCTTAATAACAT